TATGGTGTGAAAAAGGTTGAATTGAAGACCACTCAACCCTTATATATGATTGAGTTTACGGCCAGGGTGGGGGTCCACCTAAGAAAAAGACCCTTTTACGACGCGCAAAGCACGACGCTCTTTGATTTATGTTACGCATTAGAGAGCGACATTAAAAAAGTGTCATCTCTTCAAAAATTTTAAGGATTTAGCTCGCGCATTACTGAGTGCCCTTAAATTAGTGTCTCTAGAAAAGAAATTAAAAACACGGAGGGCGCTTTATTTTTAACGCGCATCCACTATACCCGTCACTTTATAATTTTAATGAAACGCGGGTTTAGTAGAGGGGGAAAGGAAATCCCCAAAATTTTGAAACACGTCTTCTGCCTTCTTTCTATCTTTCATCTTTGCAGTCTACTACTCTCCCCTCTCCCTCCTTCTCTCCTCTCTCCGATCTGCTTCTCCGCCACTCCTTAATACCTTGCAGGAGTCTAAAAACTAGAAAACCTCATCCTCACAAAGTCTAGGAAACTAGGGTTTTTTCATCCCTCAAAGAATGACCCACATCCTCCATAGATCGATCGTCCTCGCAAAGTCTAGGAAACTAGGGTTTTTTTTTCATCCCTCAAATAATGACCCACATCCTCCATAGCTCGATCTCTATCGCTTCATTTCTCACAATATATCAAACACTTTACATTCATAGGGCCACAAAATCGATTATTACTTGAACTAAGGTTTCGAGTTCATATCACACAACCCTCCCTCAATCTGTTCTCCCTGTTCGATCGATTTGCTGGTTTTGCTCGACTTCCTCTCATGCCGACCATCAATGTTCAATCGTCGACCATCTCCGCAACTATAAGTCTTTATCTTCAAGTCTATCGAAGGTTTAATCGAAGGTTCATCTGTTATGTAAGTCTTTATCGATGTTCAATCATCGCTCACGCCGACCATCGAAGTTCAGATTGTGTTAAGCTTCCTCCTTGGGCCGAAATCCCTATTGATTTTGTGCATAAGCATCGCATGGCTCTTGAGAGTGAGCATGTCTCTGCACATTTACATGAATGGATAGATATCATATTCGGGTGAGCCCTATTTCATTCATATTCTAATATCGGTGGGTTTTATTTTGTTTTGATGCTTTTGACTTTGTAAAAGGTTGAAATAATTTTTTTATATAGATAAAATCACTGAACCAGTAAGTCTTTTTGTTAGTCGATTAATTAAGTTCTTTTTTTATGTTTCTTTTCTTGATTCTTTGCATACACGCGTAGCAAGCACCATCAGTTTCTTAGCTCCTGAGTATGCACTAACTGGTTAGTTCTCTAATCTCCTTGTACAAGCATGGATGCTAGCACAACTTCTTTGTTAATTTTAGGGCCTAAATCAATTAGTGTCTCTTAATCTTAGGAGTCACATTGACTAGGGTTCTTCATTTTTATATCTAGTGTTTCTATTTCCTGGCACAATGCTTGATTAACTCAACAAGGATGGTATTGCTCTTCTTATTCAGATAATCTTGAATCGTTATTTGAAATGTTTAATGAATTTTGTTAAACTAAAAAACAAATATATTCATAGTGAGATAATATGATATTGAGTGAAAATAAAACACCAACTGAGAATTAACTGAAATTAATAATCTAGTCTAGTAACTATGCTAATTCTGTAACATTGGTAGCCTATAGTTTAATTAGACATGTCTGTAATGAGACTACTCAGGTGTGTATGAGAATATTTGTCATCTTCATAGTTAATACGTATGTGGTTTATCAATATTTAGATGAAATTAAACCTTGTCATGCTTAACTTTCGCATAATCAGGAGTGTGGCTATTGTGTATTGAAATGGATGTGTAAATTTGTGATGTGTCGGCAACATGCGCTCTCTTACATGATGACAAAAGTTTTCTTATATGCATGCATCTTTTAAATGTACCATATACTGATTTATAATTGATTAATTGGTGCTCATCACTTTTGCAGAGGAACTTCCTGGCTGTTGGAATGAAGAACCAAATATGCTATCTTTTAAAGCATTTGATCGCCCCTTTGTTTTCCTAGGTACACATTCTTTCTTAAATCTCTTCTTTGATTTAGTTTTAGACATAGAGCTATAGAGGTCAATCTTTTTATCTATAAAAAGAATATTTTTTTTCCAGGTAATTTGTCATTTCAATCAATGAGAATTACATTCCCCTAAATATAACTGTCCTGAATTTCTTATCCGTATAAAATACTACATTTTTTCTTGTTTACAGGAGAACAGGTTCATATACTAGCATTACACCCTTCAAGGTTGCTGAAGTAATCAGTAAAAATGGCATAGGCCCAAATGCCAAAAAGCAAAACGATGAGGCCAATGGGTCCCCTGTTTCTGCAGTTACAAGTCCTGATGCACATGTTACAACTCAAAATGCTAATGAAATTTAGGATGAAAAGACTGACCCAAATAAGGATCTTTCCACTGGTGAATCTCTTCTCAGAATGCAAGATCACAGAAGACAAACCGAAATGATTCTGCTAAGATTTAGGAATTCCTAATTTTTTGCTCAAATTGCTGAGTCAGATGAGCCAGTTTTGGTCAAAAAGAAAAACACAGGAAACGTTTAGAGAAGTCTTGATGGAAGTACTTCTGGTGGAGTTGCATTCCATTCCATTCCTTGTTTATTATAATTATCTCATTGTTTTGTGTTTCGTATGATTGAATCGGAGAAGGAATGGAATGTTTCATTCCTTTCCATTCCTTTCAATTTCTATTCTATTCCTTTCCATTCATCCAAAAAAAGGAAGCAAATAATCATTACTGATTTGCATTCCATTTTCTTGTTTGGAAGGATGCAGCTGCTTTTACAGGTAAACATTGGTGTAGACTGTTTAAAAGATCCAGTTTTAGAAATCACACACCTACATAATCCATAATTCCCTCAAGTCAAGATCCATGTGGAGATTTATTAAAATGGTTACTCCCTTTAAAAAATTCCATTCCCTCTCCATCTCCTTCATTAACCCCCCCCCCCCCCTCAAATGAACTCTTCAAGCATCCGTTCCTCATCAAAAAAAGTCAACCCTTCCGCCACATCATCATCCCCAATTTTTTCATTTGAACACTTCAGAAGCTATTCCATGTAAGCAATTCCTCCTAGTGATGCTCCTGTGTTACCCTCTAGCTCCATTTCAAGCATTGACTTAGAAGACCAGAATCAGTTCTCAAGTAGAAAGTCAAAGGATGAGAAAGGTGAAGGTGAAGGACGTTTATCTTTCCGGGGTGTACCCCTAGAGATTATTTAGCAGATCTCAATTTATGTTACATGGTTTCAATTGAGTGAATGATTATTTTCTTAATTTAATGATGGGTTACAGTTTTGTGGAGCAGGGTTGTCTGATGATGTTTTTGTTGGTTACTCCCACCTTATAGATCGGCTTCGTGAATGAGGCCTACTAGTGGTAAGACTAGCATTTAGTTATACATATATATATTATTCTAGTAATATCATATAAGTATAGGGTTGCATTTTAAACTTTTAAAAATCTAGGGTTTGAAATTTAAGTTGTCTAAATTAAAACTTTTAATCACAAATATAAATTTCAAAACTTTAGGGTAGGTTTTAAACATTTAAAACATGAAGGATCAAATAACAAATAATTCCAATTAACAATTAATATTCTAATTATCTTTATTTGATTTATCTTGATTTCTTTGAAGATAATTACCAAAATAATTAATCATTATCATATAAGGAAATTAAATATTTTATTAGATGATAAATATCTTTAATTAGATCAAGATAATAGTCATATTTATCAAAAAATCGGATTTAGATTGATCTAATATGATTAAGGTAATTTCCATAAGATAATTATGAAAAAATCCCGAATCTGGCCCTTCCTGACGCCTGGACTCGCCGAGTGCACAAGGGGACTCGCCGAGTAAGGCCTACTCGACGAGTCCACCTTGGAACTCGCCGAGTCAGTGACTCAAAACCCAAAAAATCGATTTTGCAGGTTTGTTTCAGTTATTCAAGCAACAATTTAAAGAAAACCAATCTAGGCTCTGATACCACTGATGGGTTTTTAGCCATAAGAACTTTCCTATGTGCGCATGCAAAACCCTAATGCTTGGATCTAGGCTTTCTAATAAACATGCTTTTGAATCCAAGACTTATAATGGCTAATTAGGTTAAATAACAATATTGGAACAGATCTAGAATCATACCTTTGAATTCCTTGTTGATCTTGTTTGTCTTGGAGCTTCAAGAGTCACAATTGTCACTCCTCTAATGGCTTACAAACACCAATAGCAAGCAAGATGATTTAGGAGAGAGGAGAGGGGAGGAATTCGGCCAGAGGTTCCTTGCTTAAGGTTGTGTGTCGAATTCCCTCATCCATAGGGTCTATTTATACTATTAGACTCCTTAAGGGTTTCACCCTAAACCCTAATTGGATAATCTTCTCTTAAGGCTATCCAAATCCATTCCATAGATAACCCTATGGACGATTTGAGCTATCCTAAAGCTCTTAGAATCCGTCCAAGGTATATCCTAATGTATTTACAGTCTAAAGTCTAACTATCAAACAATTGACAGTTTATACCCTCTTATTTAATTAATCTCTTTAAGTCACCAAATTAATACCAATTAATTTATGACTTATATTAATCAAATAGCCAAATATTATTCCTTATAATATTTACTCTCTCTTAACAAATCATCCTTCAAGTTGCTATGGTGAAGGCAACCCAAAAGGACCATGCACCACCGAATATAGTTATAGCCTTAGACACTATTCCAACAAAATCATCCACACTTCTCGCAAATTCATGGGTCAGATTTATATTCCATTTATGAACTGGTTTCTCTTGGCTGCTACCCTTCTTCTTGTCACTTTCATTGCAAGCAATAATGAGATCGGAACTGCATATGGTATATTTATCTTCAAAAAATTTCACACTTCTTTTTAATATATAAATAATTTCATTTTCTATAAATAAATAATACAAGAGTTGCTGAGGTCGGAGTGATGATGATGACCACCGTCTTAGTAATCCTTGTTATGCTTCTCATATGGCAGATCAACATCATTCTGGTGATGTCCTTTGCTATCATTTTCCTTGGTTTGGAGTTCATATTCTTGTCATCTGTTTTATGGGGCATCAGAGATGGTAGCAAGCTAAAACACGAAACAGAAGTGAAGAAAAAATGTCAATGGATGTAATGCGTGAGTTGGGAAGTAATCTTGGAACTGTGGGGTTTTGCAGGGGATGACCTCAATGGGAAATGTGTAAGTCTTCTATTTTGACTTATTATTATTATTATTATTATTATTATTATTATTATTATTATTATTATTAATGGTGTCTGCAGTAAAAAAACATTTCACTTTTTACCTCAAGCTGATGACATTGTCAACAAATCTGTTTGGTGCATCTCTTTTAAAACATGGTCATTCGTGCCATGCTTCCTGAATCTGATGGTGCAACTGTCATCTCAAGTAAGTTGTTATACCTATTTTCAATTTTCTTTTTAATTATTAAGTTAACTAAATTTTTTTTCATAATTCCTTTTATTTATTTTTATGATTAAGACAAATGAACTCTACCAGTTAGATGCAGTTGCTTTTTGCTTATTATCCACTTGGGTAGGTTAAATAAAATGATCTCGTCATATTACCATTGTTTTTTTGTCATTATTAAAAAATGTATTTTAATCACTTTTAGTGTAGAGATAAATTAGGGCTAAGTCTTGAGTTGGGTTCTTTTATGGCTGGTGTTATGATTTCCACAATTGAATTTGCACTATAATAATGAGTAATGACACACATACACATATTTTTTGCAGGTGGAGCCAATTCGAAACTTATTTGCAGCTCTATTTCTATCAAGTATTGGGATGCTTATACATGTACAGTTCTTGTGGACACATGTGGATATATTACTAGCATCTATTATTCTGGTTATAGCTGTTAAGACTACAGTTTCTGCAGTCATGAGAAAGGCCTTTAGATATTATGTTAAGACATCATTTCTTGTAAGCTTCAATAGACCACTTAACCTCAAATCGAAGCCAACTTCATAACCTTTTACCAGGTTCGATTTTTATTTATTTATTTATTTATTTATTTATTTTTATTTTATAGTTTTAGCCCTAAATAGATTAAGCCCTATCGCATCAGCCATGAGACATTTCTCGTCTACAACCAAAGATGTAATATGGATTCTTATGATTTAACATATTAATCATATTGAACCAAAAGGGGATTTAAACACTAGTAGACCTTTGCATTGTGCTAAAATAAGGTTTTAGAGAAACTGGTATATATAGCTTTAACTTCATGTTTTTGCAGATGATAATAAAAGATGCTTTGAACTCTGCTCTTGTTGAGGAAATGGCTGCTGGTTCTAGTATCTTTATCATGGGTGAAGAGGTAACTAGCTAGTACTATGTTTATCCTTATGTATCTAGAGAGTCTTTTGCTATAAGCCTCATCTTTAATTTTGTGACGTGCAGGTTGGAGAATACCAGGGTGCATAGAAGGTTAGAATTTCAAAAGCATTCCATTTGATCTATCAAGTTTGTGTGTGTTTTGGTCTTAAATATTGGATTTTTTTATGCTTAGGTAGATTACAAAAAGATTGTTACATAAGTATGGACTTGATAGGGTTGTTGACACCCCTATCACAGAGGTTAAATAATTAGTTCTTCCCTCATATATTTATCTCCTTACAAGATGCATCTGATGATGTGAAGGTATATTAAGATCATAAGATCATAAATTTCTTTTCTAATATTTTTCAAGAAATGTCAACAACATGCAGGAGAAATCATACTAAGCATTGGTTCCATTGTTAATGAAAGCTATTGGATGGCAAGGAGGAAGTATACTATCCCTTGAGACAGTAAAACGTGTTGTGGTTGCACAAGGTCTTGGGTCAGTAATCATATATGTCGTGTATCTAAAATCCAATCGTCGCCATCGATCCAAGTGGACCTCAATCTAGATCAAGGTCACCGAGGGTTGTTAGTTTTATAGGAATGTATAACCTATGTTAGCAATGTATAATTTTTGTTTAACATTTAAATGACACACATTTTTGCTTATTTGTTTATATTTCTTGTATCTAATTAGTTTGTAAATTTTTGTTACAACTATTGATTTGTTTTATCTTTCCATGGAAAAATTATTTGTATAACATTAAATTTTATGCAATGGATTGTATTTTTGTATATGATATTTTATTTTCTATTATGAGACATTAAATACAAGTTTAATCTGAAAATTAGTAAATCTATAAATAATATTTTTTTTTTAAACATTTAAAATTATGATACGCAAAAATGTGTGTCATCTTCATTTATGACATGGACTTTCTTGACAGGGGTTTTCTTGATACACATTTCGTGTCATTAACACGCGCGTCGTAAGGCTACGATACGCGAATGCGTGTCGTCTTCCTTTATGACACGACCTTTCTTGATACGCATTGCGTGTCGTAAACGAGTGTCGTAATTGCGCGTCGTAAATGCGCGTCGTCTGCCTTTATGATAGGGCCTTCTTTGACGCGCATTTGCGCGTCGTCTGAGCCTTTTACGACGCGCAATGAGCGTCGTAAAAGGCTGTTTTTCTAGTAGTGTTAACCGCAAACGGGGTATTTCGCGTGATTTTTCGTTTTCCGACACGTATGAAATTACGACAATAACCCAAATGGATTTACTTAACTTAAAAGTTAACGGAAAACCTTAATAATAAAAATAAATTTTATTAACGGAAGTGGGTTACAGTGACGGGATAAACTTCGGGTTGTCACATCGATGAATCTGGGATATCTTCACACACCGGGGTTTCTCGCGAGCAGAGCTTCGGTTTGGAAACTCTTTTCTTCTTGGGATCTTTGGTGCTCCGGGACTTGCTTCGGGCTTCAAGGTGATATTGGGGCTTCGAGGGTGCTTCAAGAGGGCTAGAGAGGGTATCGGGAGTGAGAGAGTAAGTGAATAAGTAACCATGGCCGGCTGCCCTTTGATTTCTATTTATTAGGCCATTTTTCTAGAATTCACGTCGTGAATCTCAAAATTCATGTCGTGAGTTCAGTAGTCATCAGGTGCATCATCGCAACTTGGGTCTATCAGCTCCAAAAGTCATTAATACTAAGTTCACGTCGTGAACACTATGTTCACGTCGTGAACTCTGACACAGTGCCGAGGTTCGCACCCTGAACTTCAGAAAGTCATATCTTTCGCATACGAGCTCCATTTTCGACGTTAGTTATATTCATGCGTAGGTGAGATTATGCTCTACAACTCTCGCTTAGACTCTGTCGGCTACTTTTGACTTTAACTTTTATTATATTATTTTTAGTAGGTCGGGACAGGAAAACTCCATTAGGAATTCACAACTCCTTCCTCTTATGTCTGTTTTTGTCTATCTTTTTACCATTGGACTACTATTGACGAGATCCTCGATTCTCGTTTAGATTGTTTCGGCTAGAAATCACTCGATCTCATATTCGAACTTTGGGCTGCATACCGCTTAGTCGAAACTTTGAAAAATCACAACTTCCTCATACGAAGTCAGATTTAGACGTTCTTTTTATGCACACTCTCGGTTTAACGTATTCTACGACTTTTGTTTAGATCACTAAGGCTAAATATCGCTCTATCGTAAATTCACTATTTACGTCACGCAGTGTCGTACCGGTTCTATCGCGAAACTTCGACAAGTCATAACTTATTCGTTATAACTCGGATTTCGGCATTCTTTATATATTCAGAAGCCTTGTTACGACCACTACAACTTCCTTAATAGCTATTGAGTTTATCTAACATTTTATTTTATCGTTTATTTTTATCCTTAATTCATTTAAATCACACAATTAAGCATAAAACACATAATACTCAAATAATACATTTTTATTATTATTTTCAAAACGGGTTACAAAGGTTAACCTAGACTATTACATCAACATTAATGCCTAGACCAGAAACACGGGCGTTACATCTAAGCATGCTCAACAAGCATATAAGGAGAAAGGTAAAAACTTTATACCATTTCAGAAGCCAAGAATGCTTAGAAGATCAGCTCTCTACAACAATAACAAAAAAAAAAAAAAAAAAAAAAAAAAAAAAAAAAACCCTAAGACAAATAATGGGCACCTCTTTCTTCTTTCAATAGTATTCAAGATCTTGAAACACCAGGAAATAGTCACTAAAGCACCAAAAACACACATACAAGTAAGATTACTCTCTGTAGCATGGAAGCTGAGGATGAGACGAAACCTTGGCCCTAATGATGCTTAAAAAGGGCATAACCCTCAAGATCTAAGGTTTTGAGCCCAGCCGTTACGCACCGCAACTAACACTTGACCGCACAACAACTTAGATGACATGGTCGTGACTCGATAAATATCCACCAATATGTCGCGGTCAATCATAATCCCAAAGTTCAAGACTTATGACAAATAAGCTCCAAAAGAATAATACCTGAAAACGAATGTTACACTAACGACAGAGGCAACGTCTTGGACTTAGGAGACGATTGAAATGCTTATCGATGCCTTCCAGGGTTGACTTGAAGGAGAAGATGACCGTGATGCTTTGTGATGGTTTTGAGGCTCGATTTCCAAAAGCATGAATAGGGAATAATGGTTGAAAAGGCATCGAACTGGTAATTCACTTAATGATCTAATAAAGGGTAACCGAGTTACCCTTTCATTTTTTTTTGATAATGACGTTTTTAACCTATAAAAATGGAGTTTATACCCCCTACACAGCTAGAAAATATTAGGAATCTTTTAAATAAAAACATAAAAGTTCATAATGATGTCAATTCCCGATGTCTAAAGATGGGATGTTACCAAGTACCCATATTTCCTATAATTAACAATCTACAAAATAAGTTACTATGTTTTATCTTGCGATAATATATTTAAAGGGAAATGCCTAAAAAATACAATATCATTATGTCTATTAAGACCGATATAGTTTTTTTTTTAACTTAGACAACTTCTTGGAAAAAAACCCAAACCGTTTTCTCAACCGAGACAACTTCTTGGAAATAAAAACATCATAAAATAATCCGATACGTTCACATGCACATCTTAAATCAATATGAATAATATAATCAGGGAAGTTCGTAATCTAGAAAGAAGAAACAGGAGGCCTTACGTTAGAAAAATTCCTATCATTCTCAAAACATGACTTAGGATCCAATTAGGGTTTATGAGAACCTTTCTGCTAATATGCCGAATTCCACATTTTGATCAACAAACAACTACCACCAAAACAATTCGATAAACTTCACCAATCAACAACAAAGAATTGTGATCGGCGTTTGATTCCGCCGATCCAGGAAGTCTGAAATCGCCAAGTATTAAAAATAAAAACCTACCAAAGATCGCCAGACACTCCTTGTCAGCAAATGAAATCGGGAAACCTCATCTCCCTTCACTTTATGAATTAATTAAAGCAATCTACAACTTTACCAATGGATTGGAGAAACTTGGAATTGCCGCCTAATATTCTTTTGCCCATTCGTCAATCCGACACAATAACAATGATTTAAAAAAAAAAAAAAAAAAAAAATCCTATCGTTAACTATTAATTTAACCAAAATGAGAAATTATATTTTTAAAACATTAAATTATATTATGTTTTTATTTGTTCTTTTATTTATTTTAAAGAATTGACCATTAGTTCTAGGCATTTTCTATAACAAGTTGATATTTTCAAAACATCACTACTAATAAACAAAATACTAAGGCTTGTGTTGGACACGATTCTTTCAAACAAAATTGTTCTTTGTTCTCAAGGTACAACAACTGAAGTGGCGTGCATTGTCGGATTAGTGCATTGTCGGATTAAAGCACTTGTCTGAAAAGATTGCCGTAAAATATATGTTGAGAGAATGAGAAGAGCGAATTCGTTTAGATGCATTAGAATGAGAATCAAAAGTCACTTTATATACTAATCTCTCTAACGTTACTCATTAATTCGAATAAATGAATTAGTTTCATATTAACTCACATTTAGTGAATAACAAAACTATAACATGGTCCAAAACTATAAAATTCTACAAAAATCATAGCTTGAGCGGGCCTAGAATTTCTAGGATGCATTCGTGTCCACACACGAGTTATGTGATTTTTGTCTATAAAATCTATAATTTACACCCTTATATATGCATAGGTCATGAAGTAAAACAATAGAAAAACAAAATTGTAAGTCTTTATACTACTATCATTATAAACCCACTAGGAGTTTATGTTTTACTACTACGTGGGACACTTTCCCACACCTATTTGTTTTGAAAAATATTATTCTAAATACTCAAAGTTGAGTGTCGATATCGTATTCACACATATTCCGTTTTAGACACAATTTATATCGTTTTGAAATTTTCAAAAAGAAGACCCACTAAAGATTAGTAATATATAAAACATATATTTATCATTAATTGTGTCCAAATTTTAATGAATATACACAATATTTATTAAATTTTCCAACACTCACCATATAAATTAGGAAAATACCGTGTGATT